TCATGCGAATAGCTGGGATTGCTCCACCAAAGGAATCAGCCGGGGAGGACCGTCTGATTTGGGGAGCCTCCAGTGACGGCCGTTTCTCTACGCGAACAGCGTACGATGCCTTAGCTCCTCCTCCATGTGAAACGGATCGACCGATGTGGAAGATTATATGGCGAACCCAAGTGCCACAAAGAATCCGCACTTTTCTGTGGTTAACGGCTCACGACCGACTCCTAACTAATAGCGAGCGTGCCCGACGCCACCTTACCTCCTCGGCGGAATGTGAAGTCTGTGGCGCAATCGAAACCACCGTACATGTCCTACGTGACTGCCCGAGCACAAAGCGGATGTGGTGCCAACTCCTCCCTCCGGGCACTGACCGCAACTTCTTTCAACAGAACCTACGCCCATGGTTGTGAAACAATCTGAGAGGTAGGCCGCTGGGAAATGACATGTTATGGAGCAGCAAGTTTACTGTTGGAATTTGGTCCTCATGGCAGTGGCGGAATGAAAGAGTTTTCAAGAACCGGCTGATAGGTGTTGAGACTCGAGTTTCGGAAATCCGCCGTAAAACAGATTCCTATGCAAAAGCCGCAGAGGCTTACGGCAGGGCTGGCGCAAGGGTGCACTCTCTCCGCATGATTCAATGGCGCCTGTCGGATCTGGGGTGGGTCAAAGTGAATACCGACGGGGCCTACAACCGAACCACGGGGCTATGTAGTGCGGGCGGCTTAATTCGAAACGACCTCGGACAATGGGTCGATGGATTCTTTATGAACATCGGTATTGGCACATCACGGGGGAAGAATTATGGGGCCTTTATCAAGGGTTGCAGCTGGCTTGGGAGTTGGGCCATCAACAGGTTGAAGTCGAGATCGATAACCAAAGCGTGGTAGATTTGATCTTAGGGCCCCAAGGCAACTTCGGGGGCCACGAATCTCTAGTCCGAGCAATCAGGAGCTTTTTTCAAAAAGAACGGAACATTAAACTTAAGCACGTGCATAGGGAAGCCAACTTGGCGGCTGACCACATGGCGTCATTGGTGGCTAACTCCGAACTAGGAATGAAACGGATCTCGTCACCCCCCCAAGAGTTGGAACCATGGCTCGACCACGACATCAGCGGGGTAGCTTACCCACGCCACATACTTGAATCTTAACCTTGGGCCTTTGGCCCGTCTATGTACCAAAAAAAAAAAGTAATTTCTTTTTATTTTCCAAATAATGAATTTAAAATTTTCAATCCACGTTAATACTTAGTGGTTCATATTTATGAAGGGTCACCCCCTTTAATTCCATAAACATACTCTTTAAAACCCTCTTTAATTCTCCTAATCCTCCTCGTCCAGACCTATCTCGCCGCCAACGGAGGGCCACCCCTTCTTCAAGATCTTCTCCCCGTCGACTCCCTTCTATCACCGCTTGCACCGTCCACTGCTTGCACCATCCGCCGCTGGATTTGCCACCGAATTTGCAATCTGATTTTCGTCGAATTTACAGTTTGAGATGTGTGACGATCAATTTTTTTTCCTTTCACCTTATTCATCTATGGTAATTTTTTTTTTCTTTTGTCCTAAATTTGAATTCTTGTCAAAGGCTTGTTGAAAAATCTTAAGTATATTATCTATTTTATTTTTTTTTTATTATTATTTTTTTTATTTTTCAGGTTTAATCTTAGATCTATGGATTAAGATGTGAATTACTCCGGCGAAAAATTCCAGCGGGACCTTCGTTCACCTCCGGCAGCAGCACCTTCGCATTTGAGTGTGCGTGCGACGAAAGAGGCGCGTGAAAGCCGGAGTGCGGAATTGGATTCGCAGCCATTGTCTGTTCGAGTGAATTTGAAAGTTCTCTGATAGCAATTTGTGTTATACATTGAGTTGATTTTTGTTAAATTATTTTTAAAAAAAGTTATTTGAATGTAGTTTTGTAGAGGTTAATTTGATGTTTATTGATCGTATATTTTTGTCTTATCTATGGTTTATATTCCGTTTATTTTTGCATTTGATGTTTATGTTGAGTTGATTTTTTTAATTATTGATTGTATTTTTTTGTCTTATCAATGATTTATATTTAGTTTATTTATTTGTTTATTTAATTTTTTTATAAATTAGCAAAAAATTAGATATTAAACTTAAGATAAATTGAAAATTAATCTTTAATAAAGTATAGAGATAATGCAATAAATTTAAGATAAACTAAAAATAATCTTAAAAAAATAAATTTAAGATAAACTAAAAGTAATCTTAAAGAACTCATATGGAGAAAATGCAATAAATTTAAGATAAACTAAAAGTAATCTTAAAAAAATAAATTTAAGATAAACTAAAAATAATCTTAAAGAATTCACACAAGATCATGAGCTTGAAAAAAAGACTCTGGGAGAACAAGTGGAATTCGTTAAAATAATAAAGGCTATGAAAAAGGCTTTGGGAGAATAAGGAATTAGTTAAAATTATAAAGGCTCAAAATTTAAAGGTGGAATTAGTTTACATGATTCGTAATTAAGGGAAAGCTACTTGAACAGGAGGATAGACGTGTCTTTAAGCCGAATGTGGTTGGGTTATTTAGTGATTAAAGGCCCTAATCAATTAACAAATAGGCAACTGGACAAGAAATTAATTTCAAATAAATTGGGCCAATCAACAATCTGCCCAATTTGAATTTGGGAGTACATGTTATGGATAGAGAGACGTGAGTAAGGTGGATTTTTATTTGGAAAAGGAAAAGGTTGAATAGGATTTACTTTGCCAAGAGAAGAATGAGCTTCAGCGGCGAGAAAAGGCGCAGACAAAGAGCAAAGGAGCGCACGAACTGAGAATAAAAGAAGCTACACACACGAAGGCAAGCCGCACTCACATACGAGGGGATATCTTTATCTTTTCTCTTTTATCTAACTTTTATTGATTTTTATTAGTATGTTAGATTAGTATTTTTATCCAGTTTTAGGAGATATTTGAACCCTAACTTGAATTTGTCTATGAATTTGATGATTTATATTTATTGTTGATCAATTGAGACGCCGCATTTATTTTGTTGACGAGTTGATTCATGTTATCTGTGTATAATGTTTATAAACTATGGTGTTTTCCAGAAAGATCCCCAATGATGATCTTATGGATCACCCATCCCATCTTTTAGGTTCCATTTGATATATATAAGGACATAATAGTATCATTTTAATCTCATCATCACATATTTGTAATTGTTTTGTAATAGGAATTTCATCACCTTTTTAATGATATATAGATATAAGATTAACATTGGCGATCTCGCCACTTATTTTTTCTTCCTTTTCAATAGGAAAATTATTATTTAAAAAAAAAAAAAAAAACATTCTTATACAATGTTAAATATAATAGCCATTGTATCACCTTATTTTCTAATTCATTCATAATAGCAATATAATAGTTATAAAAACATTGATGATCGTATCACTTTTTTATAATCATAATAAGGATATAAAAGTTGATTGTTTTTCTCGTTAATTTATTTTTACAAAATCAAGATAATTAATAAATTATTTTTATTTTTCCGTTTCAAAAAATGAATATTCATTCATTTTATTTTTTAAACTTAAAATTTATTTTATTGTTAATTATATATATACACACACATAATATCAAAATTAATAACTATTTCAACTACATGCCATTTTTTTTTATATATTTAACATTTAAAAATATTACAAGCATTCAAAACATCATGGCTTTAAAAAAATCAACTAGCGGCTGCAACTACGTGAATTGTTTAACATGTTTATGGCCATCTACTTATATATTAATGCTGCGTGAATTGTTTAATATGCTTATGGCCATCTACTTATATATTAATACTCGAGTCGAGCTCGAATTTGATAGAGTTTGAGTCATGGCTGACGCCTCAAAAAGCTCGAGCTTGACCGCGTTTGAGTCAAGATTTGGCCTTCTCGAATTTGAACTCCACCTCGAGCCTATATATAGTTTGTAAGAGCCTATATATAATTTGAACTCCACCTCGAGCCTATATGGGAATTTGAACTCCACCTCGAGCCTATATATAATTTGAACTCCACCTCGAGTGCTCCACGATCCGTTCAAATATATGTAAACTTACCTTACGATCCCAAACTAAACCTTTTCTTACTAATATTTTGAGGCGCAAATTTTTAACTAATTCTCGAGCGCTTGCATATTATTACCGAGTCTAGTCGAGCTTAACAATATTCAACTCATCGAAGTCGAGCAACAATGCAAAATTAAAACTAGTTGCATATGTACCCGTTTATGACATGGGTTGTACAATAACTTTTCAAGTAATAAATAATGGAAGTCATAAGAAAAATAAAAAGAAATAAATAAAAATGGAAGTCATAAGGTTGCTTAGGTCAATCAATGGATTAGGTTGCCAAATTGTGTACAGCGCCTATATAATTGAGCTTCAAGTTCAACTGCTATAAATGATTTCACAAATATATCCCCACATTCAATTTGGTAGAGTTATTATTATTTATTTTTTCACAAAAAAAAAATAATAAAATAAAATAAAAAAAGAGAAGAGAAGAAGTCACAAGAAGCATCTGCTCCCAAATTTCCAAAGACTTTGAATTATTGCTTGTTGAGTCGTTATTAACTTATTATTGTTACATGGAGATGCTACTGTCCCGTTACGAAATCATTCTGTCAGGATATGTAATCGTTAGACTCAACAAGCAATAATTCAAAGTCTTTTATCCGACGATTACATGATGGTTTAACGGTTACAAATCTCAACGGAATGATTCTGTAACGAAACCGTAGCATCTTCCATTGTTATATATCCGTAATAATATTAACTCATGGTGTGCATGTGAGATACTTTTCTATCGTGAAAAATAGATGGCATCTAATCAATACAGTAATGCTCCCCTACTCACGGTGGGCACATGTTAATATGTCCACCGCTTATGTGGCATGCATACATTGGTGATGTATGTCAATGTGTGCATGTCAAATAAGCGGTGGACATATTAACATATGATATGGTCCGAGATCGATGGCTTCGGTCTTGCGGAAGGTTCTTCCAGGTTACAATGTCGGTTCACTTGATTCGGTCCGGTCCGAGCTTGAGTGTTCTCCGGTACCTGAAAGCGCGCCGGAATTTCTCCGGCGCAAGCCCTCTTAGGATCTCGGATTTAGAGAGAAATTATCTGTAATAAATGTTGTACTAGAATATTAATGAAGACTTACCTTCTACTCTGGAATTTATCGTATATATAATATTTAGTTGTACGGACTACGTGGTAATCGGCGTTACTAAGGGTCAAGCCCGAGTTGGTGTTCGACCCCTTCTCATGGGTCGACTCTAATTTCACGGTTTGACCCTCTCGTGGGTCGAGTTGGCCTACCCCATGCACTCTTACGTGTGTCGACCGTTAGGCCCAATGGGTCGATGGGTCAAGGGCTTGGGGTTAAGGTTTGATGGTCTAGGGATCGAGGGTATAAGGGTTTTAAGGGTCGAGGGTCTAAGGGTTTCAAGGGTCGAGGGTCTAAGGGTTTCAAGGGTCGAGGGTTTAGGGTTTAAGGGTCGATAGGGTTAGGGGTCTAAGGATTCCAAGGGTCGAGGGTCGAGAGTCTAAGGGTTTTAAGGGTCGAGGGTCTAAGGGTTTCAAGGGTCGAGGGTCGAGAGGGTTGAGGATCGAGTGGGTCGAATCGCGTTAGGCCGAGTCGTGTTAGGCCGAATCTGGCACTAATATCCCTATCAACATGTATCCACCGTGGATAGGGGAGCATTATTGCTAATTCATAATCTTTAATTACTACAATAAACCTCTTGTTTTCCTTTGTTATAATCTTTAACTAGTAGGTACCCCGTGCGATGCACGGGACATAGATAGTAAATGAGTTATTTTCACATGCTCTGTCCATTTAGCTCTAAAAAGTAATAAAGTTATCATCAATTTTCCACCTACTTTAATCATCGTTAAGTCTAGAAAATAATAAAGTTATAATTTATTTATCACTTCTTAAAATCAACGTTGTTTTTTTAGCCCGAACATTAAATATGAGCATGTTAGGTCTAGTTTGTAAAATAAATATTATATTATCTCACTAACAAATTTATACTAATATAAATTTAATTTTAGTATATAAATTTATTTATTGATATAAGAGAAAATAATAATTTTACTTATTATTATTTACTATATAATACTTAATTCTTATTTTATTATAAACTTTGTTGTTCTACAATGTCATTATTATTTATAAAAGTTGTAGAAATTGTACGTTTTCTGTTTATTTTTATTTTATGAAATGAAAAATATTTAAAACACATTAGTGTTATTTATTTATGTAATCAATTTAAGAAATGATAAAAAAAAAATTAAGTTGTTCAAATTTTGAATGTATTTTCAATTCATCCAAATTTGAATTCAGGTCAGTTTTTTTAAGGAACTGTTAAAAAAGTTAGTATAGAATTGTTTAAAAATGTTGTTGATTATGAAAAAAAAAAAAAAAAA